CGCGGGGTTGGCATCACTTCAGTGGAAAATGTGAGGTGCAGCTCCAGAGCCTCTGTGGACTGAAGGGGGGCATCCTGGCCACCATGCCACGTCACACTCCAGGGCAGGCACATGTCGGGGTGCCTGGTCCTGCCTCGAGGCCCGTCCCCTGGTTCTCACTCTTCCCCCTCATCTGAGGGGCTTGAAGGGGGGTGGGCACGGTGGGTTTGCTGACATGCTGCCTGCTGCCCCAGGATGTACGGAACACGGTGGGCAACGTGCCCCTGCAGTGGTACGATGACTTCCCGCATGTGGGCTACGACCTGGATGGCAGGCGCATCTATAAGCCAGTGCGAACCCCAGATGAGCTGGACCAGTTTTTGGACAAAATGGATGACCCTGATTATTGGTGAGCCTGGAGGGCAGAGCCTAGAGGGGGGCAGGGCTATGGGGCAGGATGGGGGCCGGGAGCTTGGCTCTGATGGGCAGCCTCCCAGGCGCACAGTGCAGGACCGGATGACGGGGCACGATGTGCGACTGACAGATGAGCAGGTGGCCCTGGTGCAGCGGCTGCAGAGGGGCCAGTTTGGGGACATGAGCTTTGACCCGTATGAGGTAGGTGGCAGTGAATCTCCCTGGGTTCTGGGGCACCTGCAGGGACCTGGCCCACAGCCTGTGCTTGTTTCCCCAGCCTGCTGTGGATTTCTTCAGTGGAGACCTCATGATCCACCCCGTGACCAACCGCCCTGCCGACAAGCGCAGCTTCATCCCGTCCCTGGTGGAGAAGGAGAAGGTGGGTGCCCTCTCCTCCAGGGTGCAGCCCCCACACGTCCTGCCCTGACTGTGTCTATCTGCAGGTCTCTCGCATGGTGCATGCTATCAAGATGGGCTGGATCCAGCCTCGCCGCCCCCGGGACCCTACCCCAAACTTCTATGACCTGTGGGCCCAGGAGGACCCCAGTGCTGTGCTGGGACGTCACAAGATGCATGTGCCTGCCCCCAAGCTGGCCCTGCCTGGCCATGCGGAGTCCTACAACCCACCCCCTGAGTACCTGCCGAGCGAGGAGGAGGTGGGTCTGACTTGGATGGGTCT